CAAAAACTCGGCAGAAGTTATAAATGGAATGTTAAATGAGATGGGACTTTTTCCTTTACCTCCGGGAAAAAGCAAGCACATTATCATCGCTTTTTCGCAGATCAATAAGCAGGATGCAGAGGGATCTCCTACCAACACCCTGCACTCTTTCGAGCCTGAAATCATATCGGAGTCTGAAGAGAGGGAACGAATAACGGCATTGGCGCAGAGGGATTTTCTCATCAAGAGCTACGGCTTGCTCGAACAGATATACCTGGCGATGAAGAGAAACGGTATGTTACGACCCGCCGACGAGAGAAAGTACGGTTTGTACGCCAGGCTGGGATTACATGCATACACAAACCCCAGCACATGCTCTTCCTCGCACAAGTCTCATCATTATCAAAACGACCATCTGGATATCACGCAAGCAGCCGCGAACCAATGTCCGCAATGTTCCCTGAGAGTGAATGAAGTAAGTATATATTTTTATCAATCGAGACATTGCTTCTTAAAAAATCAAATCCAGATATATAAATCAGATTTTACTCGACAAGTTTTTTATGCTATTTACATACATTCAAAGAGAAGTAGATCTCTTCTTTCACTTTTTATATTTGACACAAAAAAAGAGATAATATTTATTAAGTATTCGAAAAATGTATGTGAGATATATATAATTTTCTTTTTTAGCACAAATCGATGAATCATCAGCGTGAGTTTATGAATTCAAATAAAAGTAAGCATCGACGATAATTATTATGAGCAACGTTCCGGAAATTATCGCCTCCTAGCAAACACAAAGTTACGTGTAAATTATTATTATAAGTTACCTGTTAATTATTTTTCCACTTAACAATATAACAGTATATAATAATACATATTATATCAGCTATATTTTTAAATGAGAAATTATAACTGCAGATACGTTACATGTAACTTTGCATTTGCTGGGTTAGTTAGATTTAAAATCGTTTAAAATCGTCATCCCTTTCAGGCTTATGGATAACATGCAATGAGGCGCTCGTTTACGTTCGTCCGAAAATACCACAAAAATTGTGGATGGAAGAAATGAATTCTAATAATCACATCGGACGCGTAACAAAAACACACGTTGCTAGAACATTGTCGAATACTGTTCGGCTACATACGCTCGAGAGAAGAGAATCCTCCCATTTGACGAAATGACTAAGTAAGCTGCAGTCACGTTTTTATCTGTCATAATCTGCGTTCGTTTTTACAGTTACATGAATTAAACTATAATTATGTATAAAAATATAATTATTTAGAATTGATGTTACCACTCAGCACCGAGGATGAACGGGCCATCTTCTCTATCTGGAATTTAAAAAAGCGAAGAAATGTGCTATATATAAAAAGAATTATTTTTTCGAAAGATATAAAAGATATAAAATCAGAAGGATATATAAAAGATTAATATAAAATTGACTAAGAAAATTTAAATAGATATTATGAAGATTTTGCAATATTATGCTATTAATATTCCCAATATTGAGCATAAATAAAGATTAATAAAATTCGTAAAAATATTGGGAAATACAATTTCACATTAAATATATTACATATATACCTATAAAACAATTGCTCAGCTGCGTTAAAAATATTTTATTAAGTAAATTCATATATTGAGTCAAGAAGAAATAAAACAAGCCTTATCCAATATCTAGAAATGCAATGAACTTCGGGACACGTCTCGGTGTGTGAGCGGATTCTATTTTAAGGTAGAGAACAGTAATATATAAAAATCAACAATGTATCGACTTGTTATTTAAAGTGTCATATAAATATGTACAATAGATATATAAGTGAACATGTACACGTCGCATAAGAGTGGGAATTAGGTACGCGCCGGTGCGTATGTAAAATGATCATACACACATACGCAGACGCCAGTCTATAATATGTATAACAATTTTTATTGCTGATATATATTCTGTATTCACATGATAAAAAATAATCTATGAACAATTTGTCGCGTGCTGAGTTTTTGCTCCATTCGTGATATTGCGTCCACGTTGTTTTGTCGCAGAGTCTCATCATCTCGTTTCTTCAGTTTCTCCTGCTACTTTTTTTTTTCATCTATTAGTCTTATCGTTTTTCATGTCGCAATCGGTAAACCGAGCCTGTCGTGGACGCGTTTCAAGAGTGCTACGACAAATAATATAAGAATCCAAAATTTTTTCCAAGTTCAAAATCGAAATAACAATAATCCGCAATTTTATACAAAATAATACTGTGTAAGAGGTATGTGTATGTATTTCCAGTGGATATGTGTGTGTGTGTGTGTGTGTGTGTGTGTGTTGTATCTGTAAAGTAATGTGCCGAATTAGCAACGACAAGAGTTGCTCTCTTAAATTTCTAAATCACGGACTTCCTAAATTACAATTCTTTTTTCCTTCGACTATAAAACGTAACGGCATCAAATGATAGCAACACTTCGCAGAGTCTACGTATGTAGGCGATGTAACGTCGGCACCCTCAGCTGTAATCTGCGTTGTGTTACGTCATTGTAAGAACAAGAATTAGTGCGAAATACATTCAACATATTACGATCGATGAATCCTTTTTTTCTTAACGTGATATATATTATTTACATAAAACCACTGTGCGACTGCGACAAATATTTGCGCGTCTCTCTCACTTGATTCCCACCATATTAAATCTTAGATATAGAAAGGCTTATGTACATAAAGTCAATAGATATTTATATGATATCCTATATTATACCGCTTATAAAAAGAAAAGATCGTAAATATGTATTATATTCATGCGAAGTATTTCCATATCCGTTAAAAAAAAAATCGTCACATATTTCGGCGTATATACATACTTCCTGAAAATAAAGGTAACTGCATTTGAAGAAAGTTGCAATGAGACAAACAGTTGGACACATATAAAATGCATTTGTTTCGAACAGATTTTTACAAGAGGGGGTTAAGCTACCGTCGTAAAATATATCAAATCGATAAACGAAGAAAGGAATTATTGCGCGACATGTATCGAGATGGATGCTCCGTAATATAAATTTGTAGCAATCATCTTTAAAATTATATAATCACTTATGACTTAATTCTGTGAAAGATAAAAATATTATCTTTAGTGACTTAAATTACAGCTCATTTACTTTTTTGTACTAGAAAATGATTCATCCGCTGCTTCGGCCATTGACAACATTATTCGTGTAAGTCTTTGTAAATCGCTTAATCCCCTGTATCTTTTAATCTTCGCAATAAAAACAACGTTAACAGGTTTTCGTGTGATCTTCCCGCGCGAAAATAGAAAGAAGATATGTGAAGATGGTATCCTATTCGTTGTAATACTAAAATATGAGCATTATGTAGGATCCTGCGTATGTTACTCACATGTAATATGTGTTAAAAACGATTATATCTAGTAAACAAGTTTAAGGCATGAATTATACGGAGACTTCGAGTAAAAAATAATTTAATTTTAGATTAAGAAATATTGGCATATAAAATTAATTTCTTCATCTAAAATTAAATTCATCAATTTCATATTGAGAATAAATTAGTAAATTTATCTAATTAAGGTACCGTAAACACTAATTATTTCAATAATAATTTCCGCACTTCGTCAGACCTCCGTTTAATACAGGCATTAAATAATATATATGTATATATACATACATACATATATATATATATATATATATATATATATATATATGTATATATACATATATACACACGTGTGTGTGTGTGTGTGTGTGTGTGTGTGTATCTAGCTAATATTTCATATACATATAAAAAACTATACAATCCGTAGACGTAATTTTGTATTAGCTGCCGACGGAATTTAGTTTTTTCGTTTTAACAATTAATCTCCTGACAATAATATGCTCTTTTTTTAAATATTAATATCGCCGATATTATAAACCTGGCAGATGTGAAGATTACGCTAGCTAGTTAAAATTGTTAAATGTGCATAGATTCTTTTATCATGAAGTTGAGAGACATTACTTTGTTTTATTTCGAAATAGTTTGAATTTAATAGCAAATTTGGTTGGATGCATTAGTGTGGCTCAAAGTCTGTTGTACATTAATTTATCTAAATAGATATAATATAGGAGCTTTGAACAGTTAAACATCCAATATATTCACAAACGATGACGTAACTGTGATGGGCATCCCATTAATTTAACTATATATGCAGTACGGTATGCCCGTATATCATTTTGCGTACAACAGTCTTTGTGTACACTACTCAAATTCACTACATATTATCTTTTATAGATATAAACGGTGAATTTAGATGAATTGTAAATTATAAAAGCGCAAATACTAGCAAAAGACACGTAATCTGTGAGGCGCAATTCCAATAATTTTACAATTTCAATTTTTAACAATTTCATTTTTCATTTCAGCTTTGTTAGAGGCTCATGCTGATTCCGTTTCTTATATTTCTATTGAATTATAAAAGCTTATTACAATAGAAAAATCTGCACGTTAATATCAGTCAAATAAATTCCTGTTGTGTGCGTAAGCAATCTCATTAAAGATTATTTCATAAATAAAACATTTTTATAAAAACTCTTTACACAACTTTAGAGATATATTTCTTACATCCTAATTTAACTACGCAGTTAAATCAAGAACCATGGCAACAATATATGTATATAATCAACCAAATTATTATTATTAACATGAAAAAAGTAAAATATATTTAATTAAAGATTAAACTGGCAAATCAGTTTTGCTTTTCGCTGCTATTGCAAATTCGATTGCATCACTGGCGCAAATTATAAAGCCTATTGTATTTACTGAAATGTAAAAACGTAAACATCTTAAATTGATGAAATATACATATATTTTATCAAATATGATCCAGTCCGTTTTTATATCCTGTTTTTACATTATTTATATATAATAGTCTTTAAATATGTGCTAGTGCGTATATTATGCATCCAACCGAATTTGCTATTAGGTTTTCTCAAAAAATAAAAGGCAACTTACTTATCTTGCGCATTTAAAAAAATTTGCCGTATTATTTTTATTTTACATTTATTTTCCATTTGGTTTAAAAACAAAAAATATTTCATCATATATAAATAAAATATTTACTTTTAGTCAGATTTATAGAAAATTCAAAGAGAGCGCTAAAAAAACTAAAAGTAGTTCAAAAAAGCTCAAAAAAATTAAAGTAATAAAATTTACTATGGTTTCTTTATACTAAAATAATGACATATAAAAATATAAGAATTGCAGCATTTCAAGGTACATCGCCTGAGACTATCAATACTGCATTTATTTGTGTAATTTTGTTTTAAATGGAAATAGCTAATTCTGTTCATGCTGATTGTATTAAGTCACAAACTTAAATTTAATAAAAAATTTAATATGTAAATTTTTAACAATAAAAATGACTTGTGACAAACTCTTATGTCAACCTGCAATCAATCAATATAATTTGTATCACAATAAATATATCATCTGCATGATAAAGGCGATATATTCATGAATGCAATAAATCAAATAATGTATCAATACAATTTAAATAATGTATGATCTATTTTATGTATGATTTCAAATATATCAATGTGATTTTAATATCGATTTATACTTTTTATGCTATTATCTTAACAGAAATATAAAAAAAGTTATAATTACTGCACGATGACAAATGCACTCGTACAAATCAATTTCTTTTAGTAAAATTAATATTACAAACAACATTTAAATATCAATTGCAAAGATGATAACATTTATTACGATGTTTATCAGGAACGTTTATATATAGGATAAGACGAAGACAAAGCAAAATTGTTCACGGCTCGTCTATAATATATGTTTTACACCTGCTTTGCTAATAAAACCAAATATATAGGTATCATTAATTTTGAATTAAATGCAATTAGTCATAGAAGTATTAGATAGACTTTGTAAATCTTAAGTATTTAGAAATTTTAATCTTTGTTTTGATATTTTGAGCTATAAATTTTTAAAATATTTTAAATTCTACTTTAATTTTTTATATAAAAAAAATTATACAATTATTACCAATTATTTTCACTATCTGCCAAGATTCAATATTAAATAATATTATAATTTAAAATAATATTATAATAAAAAATAATATTATAATTTAATGAATCTAATGTATGAATCCATTTGTCATGAACAACTTGAAATTAAAATGACATTTGAGTGTTACATCTCTGCTTTCATATTCATCGATACAACTTATAATGATATCCTAATATTTCAACAAGTTAAAGCTAAGGTATTAACAAATAGCGTATTTTTATGTTGAATGCACGACTTCGCACGTGCATTAATATTTATCATGTGCTAACATGTTTGTGTATATGTGCTGTGTGCACAATCGCACACGCATATGTGCATGTACCACAT